AAGTAACAGGTGGAAGATCATTAAAGAGAGATTTAACCTAGAACTAAGGAGAAATTTCCTGGCAGAACAATTAATCAGTGGAATGGTAAGGCCACACTTGGAATACTGCATCCAGTTTTGGTCACCACGATGTAAAAAAGATGTTGAGATTCTAGAAAGAGTACAGAGAAGAGCAACAAAGATGATTAGGGGACTGGAGGCTAAAACATATAAGGATGGCTGCTGGAATTGGGTATGTCTAGTTTAATGAGAGAAGGACGAGGGGGGACATGATAGCAGTGTTCCAATATCTCAGGGGCTGTCACAAAGAGGGAGTCAAGCTACTTTCCAAAGCGCCTAAAGGCAGGACAAAAAGCAACAGATGGAAACTAATCAAGGAGAGAAGCAATCTAGAACTAAGGAGAAACTAATCAAGGAGAGAAGCAACCTAGAACTAAGAAAAAATTTCCTGATAGTTAGAATAATTAATCAGTGGAACAACACTGCTCCAACATTGGAAGTTTTTAAGAAGAGATTGCACAACCATTTGTTTCCTTCCTGAGCAGGGGGTTGGACTAGAAGACCTCCAAGGTCTCTTCCAACTCTGTTATTCTATTCTCTTCTGTTCTAATTCAGCAATCCGGATCCCTTGAGATAATACAAGCTGCCGAGTCTAAAGATTTAGCACTATTTCAGAAGAACAGTAGGACATTTAGACCATTTAGAAATAGCCCAACCGACAAGTATGGAACTTTTCTGTGCTTGCAGCCTGTTGGTCAAAGGTGGGCAACATGTTTTGATGGTTACATGAGCCTACCAGTTCCATCTCACCAGCCATGATGGAGCCTGTCTATGTACAGTACAGTGAAATTAAGATGCTTTTATCGTGTCTTCTGACAGCCAGTTGGGGTTCATGGATGTGCTCTGCAGTTCATGGATGCCGTCTGACTCCACTTCTGCAGTCAGAGCACACAGTGAAAACTCCTTAATCTCACAACACATGAACAGACTCAACCATAATTTCAACTGGGAAACATTCTAGACAAAGTCCAATCCAAAATGCTTGGGAATTCCTGGAAGCTTGGCATTCAGACAAAGCAGCCATCAATAGACAAATAGCAACAAACCATATTTATAAACCATTCAAAGCAAAAAGTTAAGAAGGAAATGAAAAAGCAGAATACAGGTAGTCCTTGACTTACAACCATTTGTTTAGTAGTCCTTGACTTACAACCATTCATTTAGTGACCAGTCAAAGTTACAATAACACTGAAAAAAGTGACTTATAGCCAGTCCTTGCACTTTTGATCATCGCAGCATCCCCACAGTCAACGTCACAGTTTTGGCGCTTGGTAACCAGCATGTATTCATGACAGTTGCACCCTCCTGGGCTCGTGTGATCACCATCTATAACCATCCCAACCAGCTTCCCACAAGCAAAATAATGGGCGAAGCCAGACTTGTTTAACAACCACATGATTCACTTAACAACTGCAGTGAAGCGTTTAACAACAGTGGCAAAAAAGGTTATAAAATGGAACAACTCACTTAACTGCCTTGCTTAGCAATGGAAATTATGGGCTGTATTTTGGTTGTTAAGACCAGGACTATCTGTATGTATATCCCTTCCGACAGTCAACATCCATATAAGCAACCAGACAAACAATCAAGCAGAAAACAATACCCCAATCAAGGAACTATCCAGGAGAAAACGACAACCCCACAGGTTGTCAGGGCAAGCTATTATATATAAGCAAGGAGCCCACTCCACACGGACTCACACTGTATTACCTAGTTGGACTATGTAGTGCCTGCAAGCAAACAACCATGCTCAGAGAGCACCAAGGACTCCACAGTTCAAACCAGAACCACAAATATTCCCTTCTATTATAATAAATAATTATCAGGCTTGGTTTCTGGTGAAAATTTAAGGACTTGGTATTAACCTTCTAGGTTCTCAAGACCTTAGGGCCATTTTTTTTTCTTCAACCTCAGTCAACTTTTAAGAAGTGCAGAAGTCAACTCCCAGAATTCCCCAGCCAGGTAGAAGTTGAAGTTCATATATCATAAAGCATGATGAATTTTGGAAGCTGACATCTACACATGTTAAAGTTGCTAAGGTTGAGCATGTCTTACTGGCTCAGGATGTCTTCAGTGTCTAGTGCAGACATGTCAAACTTGCGATGTCAGATGACGTTGCGCAACGTATCGGGACAGTTTTGACATTGCTGGCAATGGGGTGGGCGCGGCTTCTGTGTAATGCGTCCGGCCTGTGGGCCAGCAGTTTGATACCCCTGGTCTAGTGTATCAGAAAATGCATCAGGTAGCATGCATAGTTGAAAACAACCCCCAATAAATCAATGAGAAGGACCACATCTATCATTCTGAACCTGTTGGGATCTGCCAGAGAGATTCTTCTGAAAGTGCTTATCTTCTCAAAATCTGTTTACAGTATGAAGATTACTGGACAGTACCACCTTCATCCATGTCTTGTTCCAACTATGAAATACATGTCCGTGGAAATTGGATTTGGGTCCCACTCAGGTTGACTTTGGAAGGCCTGTCTTTTGAACCAGCTCTTTTACCGTTCATGTGATTCAGTTATTTTTTGTTTGGCTTAATATACAAGCCTCCTTACTATATAGAAAGGCAGATTATGGATCAAAGAGGCAAAGAAGCATGCAAGCTAGCAAAAGCAGGGTGTGCGAGAGACTGTGATGGAATATGCACCTGATGGAGCAGTGGGGGAGTTTTGGCAACACAGATCTTTCCCAGAGAGAGGCCCTGATTAAGAGACTGTGCAGTCCCAAACTGGATGGGGAGGGAGAGAAGACGTTCAGGATAGCCACACCCTGCCTAGAATCTCTCAGGATATACTTTATCTAGTAGGTTAGAAGGTTATAGCTTTAGTTTGGCAAGATTCTACCCATTGGGTATAAGCAAATAAAGGATTGGACTTGATTGGATTTTACTGTATCATCTTTGGATTAAAGAATTGAAGGTTGGGAGAAATGCAATTAAGCAATAAGAACCACAGTAGGCAATTTGAATTGATGGACATATCTGGAAATTTAAGAGGTTTGTAGGAGATGACCCGGTTTATCCCGAGGGTGGGGTCAAACGCATCATCAGTCTGGAGTACCTACACCTCCAAAAGAAATCTAAGTCCAGCCCCTTCCCCCTTGAAGTCTGTTGACTTTTATCTGACACCAATTCGCATTGACTGCTGGTAGATCAGATTCTTGTATATAGGCTGCATGGAATAAATTTGCCATGCTTTTGAACTCTATCCTGGCTCCTTGTTTCTTGTACCTGTCAGGGTTATTTACCTGCATTCTTATGTAATAAAAGAATTGCCCTTCTTTATGCTTTTTCTCTAATAGGTCTTTGTCCATGGAATTCTTTTCCGCTTGATCTGCTTTCTCTTTTTAAACAGGACCTTAGGAAAGTTTTGTTCCTATAGATCTTATGTCAAACATTTTGGGCTCGCTCTCCCTGTTGCATTTAGCTTCGGGGCACTCTCACTTTGAACTTTAGGTTTAATTGCATTGAAATGCACGGTGACAGTTTTCCATATGTTGTCCAGTGAATAGCTTCTCCATGGTTAATACGGTATTGTTGCAGCCAGTCAAAGTAGATTACAGAAGTGCCATTGTGAGGCTTTCAAGTTAACTGGTCTACAATAGGTTCCAGCACTAAGCAGAATCTGGTTAGTACTTCACTGGGAGGCCATTAAGTTTGTAGCTGAACTGGAAAGTATTTAGGAAGAAAACAATAGCAAAGTTTCGGTATTGTGCCAAATAATCCCACATGGCTGTTGTAACCAGTGACTGAGCTTGACAGGAGGGAGACTTTAACTTAAAACACTACCAGTCAGAAATCACTGGAAAACTTTGCATTGTAGTCCTGACCCCATTCAAGGCATTCCTCTCCAAGGGGAATGGGATATGAACCTTGCTTAATACTGTATATGGGACTTTATAGTACAAGATACCACGCAGATGCCTAGAATGGGTTAATTCAATAACTAGGTCAAAAGCATTGTGCAGATGCAGCCTGTATTTTGGTGATTGTTGTGGATCCACTGGCTGAAGGGGAGGGGCCCCTGCCAGTGGGAGTAAAGAAACATTCCAGCTTAGTGTCTGTTTGAGGGAGCAAACGTCTAGGATCAAACCTTTAGGTCTATATCTATCTGCCTTTTCCCAAGGGAAGGCAGACAGTCTGGCGAGATTCTTGTAATATAGGTGATCAGCAACAAAATATCCATTTGGACCTATCCATAAGTGGTTCTGATGGCTTGTGCCTGACAGTGACCTCTTTTTAATATGAATAATCATGTTCTACTCTAGAATATTGGCCCAAGTTTACTATTAATATGAATACTAGCAAAAAGTGACAACAATAAGAAGAGTATGGTGTTGATGAGAAAGAGAGAGGTACCAAATTGTAGCTCAATTTGTAGGGTTTTGGTGCTCTCCGAGTGTGGTTATTTTCTTGCAGATATTTCATTGTCCAATCAGGTAAGATCATTAGTGCACTGCAGAAACATCTGGAAGGAAACATCCACACTCAGAGACCACCAAGGTCCTTAAAGAAAGAGGGGAGGAGGGAGGGAGGGAGAGGGAGAGGGAGAGGGAGAGAGAGGCTGGTCAAGATCCTATTTTGTAGGAATTTGAATCAACACTTAATGTTCAATTAGAGGTTGCATGGATTGACTTTCAGGTAATCAGTCAATCTATAAATACAAGTGAGTGTATAAATATACGTAGGATCTGCAAGAAAATGTCACAGTATGGAGAGGTCTTATTTTGGGTTGCAAACATCCAATCATAGTCTCCTTCAGACTGAAAAATGTTTTCCTAATACTGCCTTTTTTCTGCATGGATGGCGCCTTTTTATTTATGCAAGGATATCATTCAGAGGTGACTGTGCTTGGTTCAGCTATGCTTAGGTGTAATAACACAACAATGTCCAAACATTTCCAATCCTGATCTTGACCTTCCTCTTCTTTCACCTGATAGAGAGCGATCCGAGTCCGCAGCCACTCCATGGAAACCATGGTAGGAAGCCAGAAGAAGCAACCGCCTGGAGGAATCCCTGGAAGTTTGAGTGGAGGGATTGTGCACAACAGTGTTGAAGTAACCAAGACCACCTTCTCGGTAAGTGCCATGCGATTTATAGCAATTTAACTCGGTTTAAAAGAAGGGAAGGGGCACAGTGGCTCAGTGGTTAAAGATGCTGAGTTTGTCAGCTGGAAAGTTGACAGCCCAGGTTCAAGACCAGAGTGCCAAGCAATGGGGTGAATTCCCACTCCTGCCCCAGCTCCTGGCAACCTAGCAGTTCAAAGGCATGCAAATGCACGTAGATAAATAGGTACCACTTTGGTACCTCCCTTGGTGGCCTAGTGGTTAAGATGCTGGGCTTGTTGACTGGAAGGCTGGCAGTTCGCTTGAGACTCAAGCGCCGCATGATGGGGTGAGCTCCCGTCTTTGCTCCAGCTCTTGCCCACCTAGCAGTTTGAAAGCATGGAAGTAGATAAATAAGTACCACTTCGGTGTGAAGGTAACAGCATACTGTACGCCTTAGCATATATTCATGCTGGCCACATGATCACAGAAGGATCTTCAGACAATGCTGGCTCCCTCAGCCAGGAAAAGGAGATGAGCGCCGCTGGCTCAGGAATTCTGGGAGTTGAAGTCCACGAGTCATAAAAGAGTCAAGGTTGCCTACCCCTGCCCTAGAGCAGTGATGCCGAACCTTTTAGAGACCGAGTATCCAAAAATCGCCCCCCGCCCCTGCTCTGCCTCCTACCCTGCCTGCTCCACCCCCACCCGCCCCCTGCCCCACTCGCCCCCGGGGCCACGCACTGCCTCCATGGCTCGCCGCAGATCGTCCAGGCAGCCCTGCAGTGCCATGGCATCCATGCCCTCCGCCCACACCCCGCAGCATCATCTGCATGCTATGGGGCACGAGGGCGGAGTTTGTCCCTGCTGCCCGGCTATGTCCTTGGCTGTGCTGCTCTGTGCGGGCCACGCCTGGGGGCGACTCTCCTCTAGGGGGGCTGCTGGTGAGGAGGGGGCCGTGGGGGAGAGGTGGGGCTGGGGCGACGGCATGCGTGCATGTGTGCCCACAGAGAGGGCTCCGAGTGCTGCCTCTGGCACGCGTGCCATAGGTTCGCCACCACTGCCCTAGAGTCAGACATGACTGGACAGGGGAAACCTTTACCTTTAAAAAAAGTAATCTGCTCCTTGCATCCCTTCTTCATTAGATTCAAGAGGGGGAGGGTCAGTTCTGTGAATTTGGGGCAAAAGAAACGGCTGTGCCGAGCACTGATTGACTTTGATCTGTGACATTCCAAACTCCACTTCTTCCTTTGTTTTAAATCTTGATTCTTTTTTCAAAAGCAAATATCTTGATTGCTCAACGCCACGAATTCTCCACATGCGTTCTCTTTCTGTACGCATAAACACAGTAGGATCCCAGCTTCGAGGTGCTTTCAGACTGAATGGTGACATTTAATTATAGGAAGGAAGGGTATCGAGGCCAAGTTAAATGGAAGGATGTATATAAATAGAGTTTAAGGAAATACAAAATACATGTAATCCTTGATTTATGACTACAGTTGAGCCCCAAATCTCCATTGCTGAACATTGTTAAGTGAGTTTTGCCCCATTTTATAACCTTTCTTGCCACAGTTGTTAAGTGAATCACTACAGTTGTTAAGTTAGTAACTTAAGTTAGTAACGTGGTTGTTAAGTGAATATGGCTTCCTTATTGCTTGCCAGAAGGTCACAAAAGGTGATCACAAAACCCCAGGGCTACTGCAACCTTCATAAATACATGCTAGTTGCCAAGGGTCCAAATTTTGATCCTGTGACTATGGGGATGCTGCAGTGCTCATAAGTGTGAAAAACGGTCATAAGTCACTTTTTTCAGTGCTGTTGTAACTTCGAACGGTCACTAAACGAATGGTTGGAATTCGAGGATTACATATAGTGTAGTGCAGGGGTAGGCAACCTTAGCTCTTTTATGACTCGTGGACTTCACCTCCCAGAATTCCTGAGCGAGCATAGCTCAGCTTGGAAACCTCTCCCTTTCCCCTCAGCATGGCTGGTTCAGGAATTCTGGGAGTTGAAGTCCACAAGTCATAAAAGAGCCAAGGTTGCCTACCCCTGGTGTAGTGGTTGAGGTGTTGAACATGGATGAGTTGTCTAGGTCAGGGGTCCCCAACCCCCGGTCTATGGACCGGTACAGGGCTGCATGCCAGCAGCCGGTCCGCACAAACAAGCAAAGCCCCATCCGTGCGATGCAGGCAGCACATAAAACCACGCACTCTCCAGTCTGTGGAAAACCCTTTCTCCACGGAACCAGTCCCTGGTGCCCAAAAGGTTGGGGACTTCTGATTTAGGTTCAAGCTGTCATTTAGTTAAGGCAGCTTTGAATTGGTGACTCTCATTCTCTCTCAGCTCAGCTTTCCTCACAAGGCTCTTGCGCTGCGGAGTAGAATCAACAGAGTATGTTTACACAGAACTTAGGATCAATTGTTTCTTTCTTCAGCCTCCATTAGCAGCAGCAACAGCCAAGAATCAATCAAGGAGTCCTATAAAGAGACGATCGGGCTTATTTCCCCGTTTGCACACTGGATCGGAAAGCCAAGCAGAACCCCGGAGCCGATGGTAATTCAATAAATACGTGTTTGTGCATGGGGTGTCTTGTATTAGGGCAGAGTTCCCCAACCTTTCTGGGCTGGCGGCCTGGAGCGGGGAGGAGGGGAGAAAGAGGGGATGATTTTGTGGGAAGGGCAGTGCATGTGCGTGCATGAGCTCCCACAACCATGGTGATGTGAGCACGAGTGGGACTGCAAACGCCCATGACAACGCTCACGCTAGTGGGGCCGCAAACACCCCTAATGACACTCATGCGATTGGGGCCACGAACTCCCCTGATGCTCATGCACTGCTTGCGCCAGTGGGGCTGCGCACGCGCATGCAGACACACATGCACCATGGCGCCACTCATGCGGCCCCATGGTGATTAGGCCACGGCCCAGTAGTGGGCTGTGGCTGACAGGTTGGGGACCCCAGTATTAGGGTGTTTGGAACTCTTTAGCTTAGAGAAATGGCAGCTTTGGGGGAGAATATGATTATGTTGTAAAGAATCATACATGACATGCTGAAAATGGACAAGGATAAAATTCTCCCTCCTGCCAAAGCCTAAGACAAGGGTCTTCCGATGAAGTTGATTAGAAAGAGATTTAAAACAGGCAACTAATAGACGCCTAGAATTCATTGACACAAGATGTGATGGCTACTAACCTGGATTCAATTCAAAGAGGAATGGATAAAGGACAGGATTCTTGAGGATAGGCCTATCAAGGTTCAGGGTTACCTCAGGCTTGGGGGCAGATACTGCTTGTGGCCACTGAAGAAGGCAACACATTGGACTAGAATTGTCAAGCACAGGAAATCAGGAGTTAAGGCGGTTCAAATGAATTTATTGCAAGCTAACACTCCCTACAAAAATCTGAAGTACTAACGGTCAAAGCAAATTGGCAGTAGATAAGAGTCAACAGAATTTGAGAGGGACTCTTTTGAGTGAGAAATGACTTGAGACTAATGACATGCTTGACCCCTCTCTCAGGTTCAGCCTGGTCATTCCCCCCTTGTCCTTGGCCAATCCACTGACTAGTCTAACAAACTGGTGTATTATAGTGGTTAAGACAGACCTGGGTATTTTGTGGCCCTCAGGCTTTGGCTGCCCTGACCAGCCTGTGTGAGGTCAATTGGAAATTAGAAATCAAATGTAAATAAGCACGCCAGAGAGGGTGGTAGAAGAAACCAAGTTGGGTCCAGCTCTGCGCAATTGCCGTGCGCTCCTTCAATTGGCTGGCAGCCGCAGGAGTGTGAGGAGAGAAAATGCTTTTCTGCACTTGCACAGCGCTCATCTGTCTCCTGGAACATCCTGAGGAGGTGATGGTGGTCATTTTGTGAGGAGCCCAAGCTTGGCCACTCACCCCTCCTCAGTTGAATCATGGCCAAATGGGCAGGGTGTAGCCAGGAGCTGTCAGTTTGGCCCTCCACAATAATCCCAGTTTCTCATATGGCCTTTTGGGAAAATTAATTGGCTATCTCTGGATTATGTTGGATTTGAACGTTGTGATGGCCATTTACTTAGATTGCTTTTTAAAGGAATTGAGTAACTTCATGGAGGACAAATCTGTCGATTAATGTTAATTCTGGGTTGAGGACAGTACAGCTCCAAATACTAATTGGAGGGGAACAAAAGTGGGAAAGTAACATGGTTCTGTCTACTGCTCGTGGGGCTCCATAGGCATCCAGTTGGTCATTTGTAGAAAACAAATAATGGCCCAAGGTAGATCTTGGTGTCAGAGTGTGCACAGTCTTATTACGTGAGATAACCCAGGAGTAAACACAGTAAACAAACAATCCACAGTTACAGCAGGAAACGGAAGAGAGAGAACATATCAGCAGAGCCTTCCCTTTATACAAAGGCTCTTAAAGAGGCACAGACCCTGCTGAGTCATTCTCATCATTACATCTTATATCTTACATTACATAAGCTGGTTAGCTGTTAAATCAATATCTTGACACTTGGCCTAATACAACAGAACTTGTCTTATACAGATAGTCCTCGATTTATGACCACAATTTGAACCAAAAATTTCGTGTGTAAGCACGACACTTGTTAAGTGCATTTTGCCCCATTTTATGACCTTTCTTGCCACAGCTGTTAAGTGAATCACTGCAGTTGATAAGTTAGTAACACAGTTGTTAAATGAATTTGACTTCCCTATGGACTTTGCTTCATCAGAAAGTCAGAAAAGGGGATCACCTGAACCTGGGCCACTGCGACTGTCATAAATATGAATCAGTTGCCAAGCATCCGGATTGTGATCATATGATCATGGGGATGCTGCAAAGGATGTAAGTGTGAAAAATGGACATAAGTCACTTTTTTCGGTGCCCTTCTAACTTCAAATACTCACTAAATGAATGGTTGTAAGTCGAGGACTACCTGTATTTCTTAGGTTCTTTGTGGTAGCAGCTGGCGCTAAGCCAGATTCTGTTCACGGAACTTTTGCTTGAGAGAACTGTGGTTTGATATTCCAAAAAATCTAACATGGGATGGATTAGATCTAAGATAATGAATTCATTGCCTTGACTACACTCGCTACCCACATTTACAGTTTTATAAAAGGGTTACAGAGCTCTGTTTAAGGTGCATTAATGTTTTGTAGATAATTGATGGAAATAAAATGGATAAAATGATAATGCATTGTAAAAAGAAATACTAGATTACTTAAATTATTAAGTACTATATACTGAAAACTAATTCAGAAAATTACTATAATGGATAGTACTTAGTTCATTGTTAGTGAATAAAATGTCAAAATATTAAACTACTGAATTATTAAATGACCCAGTGAATACACACACACAAACACACAGAGAGAGACATACACATACACACACACACACACACACACACACACACACATATATGTCTTGAGTGTTTTTTGATGCACCCTGTTGGCCCAAATATGGGAGGAAGAACTCTTTGTTAGCAATCAAATTTTTTTTAGCATACACACACACACACACACACACACACTTTCCCCGAATTAAGGGATTACAGGGTTGTAAAAAGGGAGTTACTGGATAACCAGTGTGATACATTGGATCATCACTTCAGGGATATTTCCTAATGAGATTGTTCAATACTTTCAGCAGTGGAAGGGCTTCTAATCTGCTGCCTCCACTGGAAACATTCTTAAAAATTTCGGGTAGGTATTCAGAAATGGATCTACCTCGAAATTAGCCCATGTATAGCACAGTCAAACACCAGGAGTGGACCATAGGAAATGTTTTATGGCCTTCTGTATTATGTCATTAAATGTTTCGTGATAATTTTTATGTCCTTAAATGTTCTCTAACTTCGCCAAATTTCAATTCCACCAGAGTCATGGGTTCCAGATTTTGGATGCATTGTATAAATCAGTCCATTTGAGGCAGTATGGTTCAAAAGTTGTTGGTCTGTGATCCATCGTTTTGCTGAGTTAAAGGTTACATACAGACAAACATGAGAGTTGTAGTAGTACATAGATCGGGTTTAGTGATCAGTCACATGGGATAACTTTTCCCCACCATAAAATAACATAAACTATGTTATTCAGTTATCAAATCCTAAAGTTAACACAATTTTGTCCTGTGTAAAGCAATGCTTCTCTAGTTTTTCTAGAAATGATGGTACCTAGTCAAGTTATGAAAGGTCTGCAAGCCAACATCGAAGTTCAGAGATCACTGAGGATTCCGTGGAACGTGAAATAGAAATCTAATGAATTCATTAAAAGAATGCTTTTTATAAGTAAACAAACAGGTTTTAGTCTAACGAGGCTCAGTTCTTCTTTTATTCATAACTCATAACTGGTTAGAAGTCCCAGAACTTTTCTGCAGGCTTCCAACCAATAACAACACAGCTGAAATTGGATGGCAAGGCACAAGTTTCTATTGGAATAAAAAGATGCAAACATCAGGTCTATTTTACTTTTTAATTTCTCTCCCTGCCCCAAGGTTTTTAAATGAAAAAAAATCTGTCCTCACCCTCTTCAGAAATATCATATCTCTTTGTCTTCTGTGGTACTTGATGGCTGAAAAACAAAGACAAAAGAACAGAAGAAGAAAAAGTCTGCCTCTCCTTTTCATATATTCAGCCCCTGGATTGTAGTCTCTTTAATTTGTAGCTTTGGCTGGCAACCAGAGACCCATAATCTGGATTGTCCTAGATTTGTTCTATCAATTTGCAATGTGGAAAAGAAATATACTCCTATCACTTTCCCTTTGAGGAGCCTCTACTACACCACCCTCTTCCTATATCACAGTTTAAAAACTGGGACAACAGAATATTGGTAGCTTGAATCTGAGGCAAGAAACAGATAATCAATGGAGAAAAATGGCTAGGGAGATGGACAGGAAACAGGTCCAAACAGATCCATGGGAGTTCAGTAGGTGATGTGGAGTGAGTCACTCGTATAGTTCATCTACCTCACTGGGTTTTTTTATACAAAACCCAATGATGCTGATGATGGGATCTACACTATTTGAGGGGCTGCCACCAAGAAGAGGGCCTCAAATTATTCTCCAAAGCACCAGAGGGCAGGACAAGACACAATGGTTGGAAACTGATCAAAGAGAGAAGCAACCTGGAATTAAGGAGAAACTTCCTGACAGTGAGGACAATTAACCAGTGGAACAGCTTGCCTCCAGAAATCGTGGGCTCTCCATCATTGGAGATTATTAAGAAGAGACTGGACAGTCACCTGTCTGAGATGGTATAGGTCCTCCTGCTCGACCAGGGGGCTGGACTAGAAGACCTCCAAGGTCTCTTCCAGCTCTATTCTATTCTAATTGTATTCTACTATTTTGTGGAATTCTTGGTGCTCTCTTGAGCTTGGCTGCTGGCTTGCAGAAGGTTTATTATCCAACTAGGTAACATCATCAGTGCTAGTGAGTATGGGCTTTATTAGCTTGCCCTGCCAGTTCTGGTGGGGATGTCGTTTTCTCCTTGGTAGTTCCTTCATTACGGTATAGTTTTCTGCTTGATTGCTTGTCTGGTGTTAATTCCTGTTTATCTGGATGTTGCCTGCTGTAGAGGATGTGCTGTAGTCTTGTTTCCTTCTTGATTTTTTTATTGTCTCTTTTGGATGGTGTGTAAGTTCATCCCGGATCTGCTCTTATTCTCTTCTGTTGGTCTCTTTTTCCATAGTGACAGTGGCTCAGGAACACCCAAGACCCCCGATGGAGGGCATTCCTCCCTTGATATGAAGTCAGAGGCTTCCTCGAACCCAAGCTCTCCGGAAATCTGTCCCAACAAAGAGAGGTAAAAGCAAGGTGCAATTTTAAACTCATTGGTTGATGGCATTCAAACGGAGTCATAATTTTCTGGGATTCAGGCTAGCAACATCCACTAAAAAGCTGTGGACTCACCATTTCACATGTGGGGTGATCCATCACTGAAGTTTTCAGGAATCAACGGAACCTCAGAAATGATGCAAGCAAACGGTGGAGGTCACAATTGATATAGTACGAGGAGACTTTTCTGATTCCCGGGATACATCAAGTGCTTGTTTGGAGTCATCTACTGGCTTCAGGATTGGAGAAACAAAGGGACAAATTATATGAACAATGTCAATTTGTAGTTGATGTCTTTTCTGTAACTTCTCCTTTCTTTTCCAATCTGGGTATAATTTGGCCGTGGGATTGTTTTGCTGTTTTTCTTTGTGGAGCCGAGAGGAAGATGGTGCTTTTCCTGTGTTTGTCTCTGCATGGCCTTGACATTCTTAGCCTTCTAGAAGGCCATGAAGACCTGGGTTTTCTTCCACAAACTGAGATTGTTGGGGGGGGGGGGTCCTAACATATGTCTGTTTGCTATCTTGGTAAACTTTATTTTTAACAGGCCCTCAACATTTTTTTTCCAGTTGATTCTGAGTATTTATTGGCTTTTCCTTTTCTGTCATCCAGAGTTCCATTGGTTAGATAGGTGACCATATGAATTTGTTTAGTAAACAAAAAAACCACAAGAATGTACTAAAGATATGTGTCTGCCTTAACAAGCAGACCAGATAGGAAACATGACCAGATAAATTAATTCTATTTTACTGTAAAGCTCCATTAACAGAATCTTACAAATCTGAAAGTACAAAGCCCTAACCCTAATCCTGAAAAACTGGGAGAGAGAATCCCGTCTGAGCATTTTGCTCCACCCATTATTCATCTGTGGGCTCTGCCCTCTCTTATCTGACCATTTCCTAGGCAGGCAGCATCTCTTTGCCCTTGTCTCTCAATTCCCAATCCCACACTATGGAAGACATTTAAGAATTTTTGCAAGATTTGAAGGTTGAAACAATGACTGCACAACTCCATCCTTCCTCTTGAGAACTCAAATTAAAGCAGCACCACTGGGCTCTGATTGAAAAGATGTAATGGCCACCTTCTTCCCAGGAGCTAATGTAAATTGATCAAAGCAGAGACCAAAAAAGAAAATCTGGAGAAAAACTCACAATCCCATTAAGGTTCCTTAGGTGCACACCATGATCAGTTCCATGTGCATTATGTGTATGATCACTGGCTAAAAACAAAAAAAATGTACAAACAAACTTTTATCAACACAAACACATACAAATGGATGGGTTGATAGCATATTGCTGATGAAATGATATTCAGGTAATCCTTGTTTAGGGACTGCCTTGTTTAGTGACTGCTTGCAGTTACAATGGAAATGGAACTAGGACCAATCCTCCTGTTTAACTCTTCTGTAAGTTTGTAAAACACAGAAACACGGAAGTCAGATAGCCAGCACATGTGTGGTTTCACTATAGACCTCTTTGCTTAACGGCTGAGTGGCTGGTCCAATTGTGGTCACTAAACGAGGACTAATTCTATGCTTTAAAAAGTAGGAGTTTTGAATCACAAAATTGGAGAACGGCAGAGGTGGAGCATTTCCTATGCCCCCTGATTATTAAATTTCTGTTTCTCTCTCACTTTCTGCTAGGCCTTTCATTAAACTCAAAGAGAATGGAAAGTCAAATATTTCCCGTTCGTCCTCAAGTACCAGCAGTTTCAGCAGCACTGCAGGAGAGAGTGAAAATATGGAAGAATATGAAAGCCTGGTAATGCCTGCTCTTGATTGATCTGAGGTGGCAAAAGTTCCTCAACAAACAACTCTTTTAGCATATTATGTACGGTATTTAAAAAAAATAGTATCTTTCTCCTCAGCTGCCATCAGCACAGCTTCATAACTCTTGTTTTCTCTTATGTTTGTCAGGCCCACCAGGTAGGACTGACTAGGACAGGGGTAGACAACCTTGGCTGGCTCAGGAATTCTGGGAGTTGAAGTCCACGAGTCATAAAAGAGCCAAGGTTGCCTACCCCTGGACTAGAACAAGGGTCTCCAAACTTGGCAACTTTAAAACTTGTGGACTTCAACTCCCAGAATTCCTCAGCCAGCCAGGGAGTTGAAGTCCACAAGTCTTAAAGTTGCCAAGTTTGGAGATCCTGACTGAAACATCAAACTCCACAGGAAGATTAGGGCTACTTCATTGAGAGTGGCTACAAAACACAATCTTGCAAACTTGAGGATGTTTACCTCCTCCCCTCCTTATACATATGCAAATTAGAGAGGTGTCTACTGAGCTGCACATTCTTTCTGCTTGTTTTAGACTTAAGTCATGTTTTTTTCTCATAGCTTTGATCATGGATCTAGCCTATCTTTCATCTGCCTTTTATTTACTCAGAGCTCTTTCTAAACAATAGAAGTTTTATTCAAGAATCACGTTGCATGAACAGGTATAAGTTATTTTGGTTTAAATTACAGGTCAGTGTTCTCTCTTTAATGATGCTATTATGTTTACTTTATTAAAAGGGCTGTTCTTTCATTTTACTATGCTTATATACCCCTGAATCTTAAAAGGTCACAGCAATTTACAATGCAGTGAGCTAAGAAATGGCAACGTTAACATTCCCTCCCTCCCTCCCTCCCTTCCTTCCTTCCTTCCTCCCTCCCTCCCTCCCTCCCTCCCTCCCTCCCTTCCTTCCTTCCTTCCTTCCTTACGATTGGTTTTAACATCAAGGGAAGGAAGTTGGGATTACTGTAGAGACAAATATTATTTTCCCTGGTTTTGGTTTATTTTTTGAAAAATGGATTCTGCATACTGCTATGGACTCCTTTAGGAGAAAGGGTGGTATACAAAACTGAATAATACCAACAGTTTCTTTCATTCACAGGGCAGCCAGTCCTCAACTGCGTCGCCATATAAACAAGATGTATTTGTTTACAGTCCTTCCCAAAGCATCGAGAATCCAAATTTAGCATCAGCTTCAACCCCTGTTATCATGAGCAGGAGCCCCACTGGTAAGTTTGATTATACCCTACCTTGATGGGCTTTGTATGACATTGCTGATAAAGATGACCCTCAAGTAGGGTGGCTTAGCATAATCTTTTGGAATAGGAATTTTCTAATCTAGTCTACTATGCTGAGATTTTCCAGGTGGTCACCCAACTAAATATTAACCAAGCCCATGCCTGCTTAGCTTTCAAGATGGAGATAGTTATGCTTCAAATACAAGCAGTGCCTGATGTATGTATTGCTCTTCGCATCAGAATATAGGGCCTTCCAAGTGCCTTTTGCAGCCTGAGTGCTTGCCCCACCCATATATCAAAGCCATCCAGATAATTGAATCTTACTCCCAGATTAACAAAAGACCAGATTCCCTCTATTACAGAGTTGAGGGACAGACAGACTGGCAAACACCATAAATATTCCTCAGGTTATGTAGTGTCTCTGTTTTGCCAAGTGTCAGGATCATGATCAGGTGCCCAGGCAGTTGGTTCTTTAGGATCCAGATAAGCACACCAGTAAATAAAGGGATTTTAAGCTTTATTATTATCTCAAACAAACAGATTTAAAAGCATAACATAAAAAGCATACATACCAAGCAGGATAGCAATAGCACTTAGATTTATATACTGCTCCATAATCCTTTCCAGCCCTCTCTAGGTGGTTTACAGAGTCAGTATATTGCCCCCAACAATCTGGGTCCTCATTTTACCAACCTCAGAAGGAGGGAAGGCAGAGTCAACCTTAAGCCGGTCAGGATCGAACTGCTGGCAGTGAGCAGTCAATTAGCCTGCAATGCTGCATTCAAACCACTGCACCACCATGGCTCAGATAATACTCAATTCACTTATAAGTGGCCAGGATTGCTTTAATAACAATAGTAGAGATACCCCAAGGGTGGCTAGTTTCACAATACCCTGGGCTAGGTGCTGTGCAAAAGCTTCACACAAACAACAATCCCAAGGTTTTTATCAAAACCAGGCACCATGACCTCCTGGCCCTATTATGGTCAGGAGATTGCAAGACCTGACCTTGGCTGGCTGGCTGGCTGGCCCATGATTCTGGGATGGGAATCGAAAGTCTGACACTTTCACAGTAAGAAAAACTTTGCAACTACAGTCCTCGACTTACAGCAGCAGTGAAAAAAGTGACTTAGGACCATTTTTCACACTTGCGACCATTGCAGCATCCCCCTGGGTCAAGTGATTGAAATTCTGGATGCTTGGCAACTGACTCATATTTATGACAGCTGCAGTGTCCCGGGTTCATGTGATCATCTGTTGTGACCTTCTGACCAAAGTCAATGGGAAATCCAGATTCACTTAACAACCGTGTTACAATAATTCACTTAACAACTATGGCAAAAAAGCCGTAAAATGAGGCAAAACTCACTTAACAAATGTTTCAATTAGCAACATAAATTTTGGGCTCAACTGTGATCGTAACTCAAGGACTACCTGTTCATGAAGTTTTCGCCCCTTCCCCTTTATTCAGTAAGCAAGAGTAAAAAACAAAACAAAACAGGTTAGCTCAAAATATGCTCTAAACTTCTGGAGTTTTCTTAATACGAAGGAGAAATCAAAATAGATCATCAACCTCCTCAAAATAACAGTGGTCTTCCTCACTGCCCTTGCAGTCTCTTGCATTACAGCATAGCAAATATGTCTTGAATAAATTAATCAACCAACCAGTTTGCCACCACTACCTATCTCCTCCCTGTTGGCTGATACCTGAGATGTTTGTTTGTGTGTGTGTGTGTGTGTGTGTGTGCGTGTGTTGTGAGGATATCCCAAGAGAGTACGTGACATTGCATGTGTGTAACATTGGTATCGTGATGAACATGTGAATTCATAATCAGAATAACAGAAAAACAGAGTTGGAAAGGACCTTGGAGGTCTTCTAGTTCAACCCACAGGAAACCCTATGCCAGTGATGGTGAACCTTTTAGAAACTGAGTGCCCAAACTGCAACCCAAAACTCACTTATGTATCGTTGGGTGCCGGATGGGCATGACCCATTGGGTGGGTGTGACTCATTGGGTGGGTGTGGCTCATTGGGTGGATGTGGCCCATTGGATGAGCGTAGCCCATTGGGTGGGCATGGTTGCAGTAGGAATGGCAGGCTGGATGGGACTAAAAAGTTCAATCAATCAATTCCAACTTTGCGAGATCTTTTTTTTTCCTGCGAGAAGTTGAAATTGATTGATTGAACCTTTTTTATTTTTTTGCACACGGTGGCGGAGCCCCAAAGCGAAAAGGTTTTATAAAACCCAGCTGAAGGCCTAGGACTGGGGCGACGGCACACATGCCCACTGAGAGGGCTCTGTGTGCCACCTGTGGCACGTGTGCCAGAGGTTCGCCACCACGGTCCTATGCCATTTCAGACATTTCATTGCTGGAGCTTTCATCTTTTTTTTAAAATTAATATTGGTTCTGAATTTTCCAAATAAAAATAAGCTGACTTTTTTTTCTTGTACTGTTCCAGCAGATATAAAAAGCAGAAATTCTCCAAGATCAAATCTAAAATTTCGCTTTGATAAACTTAGCCATTCAAGCTCTGGCCCGGTAAGTAACGATGAATGCAACTGTCTTCCTTTAAATCGGAATGTCAGACCTTCAAACCCTCAAAACATGAATACATGTTTCTTGGTTTTTTTGGCTGCCACAGAAATGGAAGGGGAGAGACTGCATTCTTATAGTTTAGTCAAAAGAATAACTTTCCTGTGGGAACCAAGGTCAAGCAGCTTAAGTGTTTGGCAGGCTGGAGCTACTGTTAGGAAGCCCGCCAAAGGAGTTAATTGGGGAGTGTGATATATGACACACTAAAGGGGTGGGGAGTTCAACTTTTACTTTGTAACCTTTTGGAGAGTAACTTTCAGTCTTGGTTTCACCTTTGTTTATGCTGATATTATGTAGCCATTAAAAGTGTTCTCTGAGGAAAGCAATTGCCTCAGAGTTCTTATTTCTTCTGGTCTCATTTATCGGAACCATGACACAGAACTTGGTCTGTTATATTTGCACACAAAGAGAGAGAGAGATAATAATAATAATAATGATGATGATAAAGTTGGAAGGGACCTTGGAGGTCATCTAGTCCAACCCCCTGCTCAGGCAGGAAACCCTATACCCTTTCAGACAAATGGCTGTCCAGTTTCTTCTTAAAAACTTCCAGTGTTGGCGCATTCACCGCTTCTGGAGGGAGGTTGTTCCACTGGTTAATTGTTCTAACTGTCAGGAAGTTTCTCCTTAGTTCTAGGTTGCTTCTCTCCTTGATTAGTTTCCATCCGTTGCTTCTTGTCCTGCCTTCAGGTGCTTTGGAGAATAGCTTGACTCCCTCTTCTTTGTGGCAGTCCCTGAGATACTGGAACACTGCTATCATGTCCCCCCTCATCCTTCTCTTCATTAAACTAGGCATACCCAATTCCATCAACCGTTCCTTATATGCTTTAGCCTTTGGGCTGGCAGCTGCCCATTAGCAGAAACCTCCCATTTCCTGACCTTTCTGACATATTGAGTTTTGAAGAATTAACATCTGACTCTAATGCAGAGGTCCCCAACCTTGTCCACTTTATGACTTGTGGACTTCAACTCCCAGAATTCCTCAGCCAGCATGGCTGGCTGAGGAATTCTGGGAGTTGAAGCCCAAGTCATAAAGTAGACATGGTTGGGGACCCCTACTCAATGTGTACAGGTAATCCCCGACTTACGACCACAATTCAGCCCATAAATAAGTTGTTGAGACACTTATTAACTGAGTTTTGCACCATTTTATGACCTTTCTTGCCACAGTTGTTAAGTGAACCATTGCAGTTGTTAAGTGAGCAACATGGTTGTTAAGTGAATCTGGCTTCCCCATTGACTTTGCTTGTCAGACAGTCACAAAAGGGGATCACATGACCCCGGGGACACTGCAAGTGTCATAAATGTGAATCGGTGGGCCAACTGTCGGAATTTTGATCACGTGACCATGGAGATGCTGCAATGGTCGTTAAGTGTGAAAAATGGTCCTAAGTCACTTTTTTCAGTGATGTGGTATCTTTGAAGGATCACTAAATGAACTGTTATAAGTTGAGGACTACCTGTATTGGTGGTTATATTTAATGAGATAAGAGTTCTTCTTTTCTTAACAAAGTTTTGCCTTTCCTAAGATCGACACAGTAGCTGCTTGGTGCCTCGAAAATATGCATTTAAGTTAGGGAAGTGATGATTTAATGTTTCCTTAACTCAAACATGTTTTTTCCGGGACCATGTGGTTACTATCCAAACCTAGAAAAAGACGTGGCTTCTTTATGAGCCGTGGTGGCCTAGTGGTTAGAATGCAGTACTGCAGGCTACTTCTGCTGACTGCCAGCTGCCTGTAGTTTGGCAGTTCGATTCTCACAGGCTCATGGTTGTCTCAGCCTTCCATCCTTCCGATGTCGGTAAAATGAGGACCCAGATTGTTGGGGGCAATGTGCTGACTCTGTAAACCACTTAGAGAGGGCTGTAAAGCTCCGTGAAGTGATATATAAATCTAAGTGCTATTCCTATTAAGGAGACCTGAACAGTTGATCTAAAAGTAGTTTAGAAAAGAACTTAAAGGAAACAAGGCTCTAATAAGGGATTTGTAGTTATTGTTGGGCCTGTGTGTATGTCAGAAAAGGCAGGGGATGATAGCAATTGGAGTCTGGCTGATGTAAAGGGTCAGAGGAGATTGTAAAAATGCTTATATATTTAACAGAACATGTTTCCTTTGTTTGCAGACACATTAGCTGAAGAATGATCCCTAAGGACCTGTAAAAGGTAACTTATATTTAGCCCAGGGTTTATAATAATTTTTAATGCCAAATATTGACAATAATGATAAGCAGGATATTTTTCAGTCGGGAACAAACTTTTTTTTAATTATGATTATTGTGGGTTTGCGATGGTGGCGAATATCTCTAGCTCAGATGTGGGATGAGGATGGAGGTTCGTTCTCCATGCTTGTGGGTTAGTTTCCGTGGGACAAACATCACATCGATTAAAAACCAGAATACATGAACATCAGTAGGCAGTCAAACGCCATGATCCCAAATCTTCAATCTCTACCCACACTGACACTGAACAGCACCAGTTCAATTGGAGCAACACAAAAATCATTAGCCACGCTGAAGAATAAGCCTGGCACTCCACAAGCAATTCCATCAACCTACACACCGACCTAAAACCAGCCTACAAAACCCTCAGAATTCAAATCAACCGCACAGCCAACCAACGACAGCACTGATCCTCAACCAAACCACACAGCCTCCCCCCAACCAGCACTTCACCTCCCAGTGACCCTCCCCTGACATGACCTCCCCATCACAAGACTCATTACAAGACCCATACTTGACACACCCACCCCTGACCCATCACAAAACACAGACATCCCCTAGACTCTCCCTGAAGATGTTACATAGCCTGGTAACGAAACGTTCGGAAACCAACCTACAAGCTCAGAGAACGGACCTCCACCCTCATTTATTGTGGGTCTTTGAGAGATGCAAATGGTACAATGATCAGTTGTGTTCGTGGGGTAGGAGAGTCAAAAAAAGGCAAGACGGTGGTTTTCACTGCAAACAAAGCTCACCTATACAAGAGGAGAAGGGCTTTAATCACAAAATTGTGACTAACCTCATGATTTTTTGGGTCACCTCTCTAATTTTGCAACACAATTTTGCAATGATCTCACTGAAGGGGAAGGATTTGAATGCTCAACCCATTTTTTCCCCCAACATGTTTGGCCAAGTTGGTTAATTTTTTTTAAAAAAACACCAAATACTGTATGTACATTAAATGCTGGTCTTGCACAACAGTTTCACAGTTTGATTCAGCAGCAAACTGGCAAATTTCAGTGCAGTGACTATTTTGTTTTTTTAAGTTGCTCTTTTGCTGCCAAAAATTTCAGCAGCTGATCCTGAAGGTGATGGTCATTGGGGTTACAGATCCTTTTGGGGGGGGATTTTGAACTTCAAAATCCGTTGTAACTTCAAATGGTCGCTAAGTGAACAATTGTAACTTGAAGACTATCTGCATTTAACTAACCAGGGTTTCAAAGCCCTTTAAAATAAAAACCCTCCATGTATGTTCCATTAATGAGTTCCATTAATGGAGCCTCTTTGAAAAGCCATTTAGCTAATGACTGACAAAGCCTCTCTTTAAATGTGTTTTTAAGAATTAAAGGAGGCTATTCTTGATGTGGATATGGATGACCTCCAAGCCTAATTTTTTTTTGCCTTCTCCCATCTTTTGCAGGACATTTTTGTTGTGTTTGTTTCATTTTAAACAGGGTGGCAAGGAGGATGTTTGCTTCGAATGACAGCATCCCTCCTTCACACCAAGCTCCATAGCCACCTATGGATTGTCCTCCATCCGAGCCGATCATTCCATAAAACCACAAAAGAATGGATCTTTTCCTGTTCCTGTTCCAATCATCCATGCTTTATCCCTCTGGAGTGGAAGGATGTCCCACGGAGGAACCAAATTTTGTACCACGTAGACCTGAACTGGCTTCTGTCTTTTTTCATTTGGTAGATCAACGGATTGGTAACGTTTTGCATAGCTGTTTAACTTGAGATCATGAGTGCTGCTTTTGGGGGTAAATCTTTGGATGTCAGAAATAATAATAATAATAATAATAATAATAATAATAATAATAATAATAATAATAATAATAAAAAAATAGGTAGACAAAATGCCAAATCCACTCTGAACATCTGGCTGACTGTGCGATGATCATCATCAATAATAATAATAATAATAATAATAATAATAACAACAATAATAATATCAACATCTGTCTATCTCAGGTCCCTGGGAAGGACTCAATATGTGGATAAAAATGCCAGATCCCAGCCTGAACATCTGGCTGATGTGTGACAAACCATAATACTAACCCCTCCATGGATACCCCCTTGTCATAATCATCATCATCATCATACTTTGCTGTTTTGTGAACTAATTTCTTACCTAATTAAGACCCCTGGATTTAAGTGACCTTTTCTTTTTCTTATGCTATTACTGACGTAAGACTTTCCACACGAAGTTGGTGCTGAGTCAAGAATGCTCTTCTGCCTTTTGAGCATTCTGCTGCCATGTAATGGAAAATAAATGACATTGGGTTTTTGCTTTTAAAGAAAGTGTTGATGGATATCCAGGGTGGGGTGGAAGGGATGTGCCCATACCTTACTTTCAGGTAGTGAACATTTGGTCTTTCTCTATCTAGTTCTCACTGGCCTGCAGTCTCCCTGAAAGCTAGTTAAATTCAGAGTAAAAAGGAAGGAGATTTCTGTGCTTGATGGTTTTCTTGCGCACATTTCATTACCCAGCTAGGTAACCTCATAGTGCTCGGAGGAAGTGGGATTTGCTCTTATTTTTATATAGTTGTGTCCTACCCTGTCAGTGTAGGGCCAGGACAAACCAGCATTATACTAAAATAAGAGCAAACCCCCACTCCTTCCTAGTTTCTCCTAAGTGTTTTGGTGTAATGAAAGAAAACGTTTGGCAAACACTGTGTTAGAGGAAAGAGTTGGGGAAAAAAATCAGGCACAAAGAAGGAATGC